GGGCCAGAGTCATAACCTTTGGAAGGACCGGGTTGCTTAACCCAAGGGTTGGGGTTTTCCATTTGGAAAAACCCCATGGGGACCAGTGCTTAACCAAGTAGGTTTCATTTGGGCTAACCATGACGGACCAGGGGCAACCCCAAGGTAACCAGTTTCCTAAACCCATGGAAAAGGAAACCCTTTTTGGGGCAAACCTTGTAGACCAGTGGCTAACCAGGGTGGGACCATTTTTCTAACCATGGTAAAAACCATTTTGCAAACCAGGGTTAGGACCAGTGTGCTAACCAGGGTTTAAGGCCCCAGTGGCTAACCAGGGTGGGAAACCTTTGGCTAACCAGGTAGACCAGGGGGCCTAACCTAAAAAGGCCCAAATTGTGCAAACCTTTTTGGGACCATTGTGCTAACCATGGAAGGCCCAGGGACTAAATTGGAGATCCCTTTTCCCTTTAAATCAGAGGCTTTTAATGCCCAAAAGCAAAAATTATAACAACAGGGGCCGCTAAACCCAAGGGTTTAATACAGCGCCTGTAGGGGGATTTTGAAGGTAGTTTTAATTTTCGGGAACGGGAAACAAAAACCCCCAAATTCCCCAAAGATCAAGAACCCCTCACCACGTAAAGGGTTACCTCCCTTGAGGGGATCAAACGAAAAAAAAAAATACCGAAAAATTTTTTTTGGGGGTTAACGTTGGAAACCGGGCATTTGTTTAAAGGGTATCTACAAATATCTGGAAAATTGTATAAAACCGCCTTATGGAAACCCCGAAAAAACTGGAAAAAGAAATGAAAAAAAACCAAAGGTGTGGAAAATTTTTAAAATTTTTGGGAGAATTTTAAGTGGGGGTAAAAATTGAAAATAGTTTTCCCAAAAATTTAAAGTGTTGGTGTGATTTGGGAAAAAATTTTTGAAGCCCAAAGAAAACCCAAACCCGCCCGGGTTTAGAGCAACGTAAAATGGGGGCAAAAAGAAACCCCAATGAAGTGAAGAGGTTATCGAATTTATTCGGGTGTAATCATCCCCGGGCGAAGAGGGGAAATCGGCAGTAACTGGGGACGTAAATGAGTGAATGCCAAAGGGAAAGTGGAAGTTTTCAGAACAATATTAATTCAGGTAGAAGGGACGATGAAAAAGGGTAATACTGGACGCGGGTTGTTCGGACATTTTTTTCCGTCTGCATAAACCCAACCCGCCCCCTGGAAGGGGTTCAACTAAATCATTTAGGTCAAAATTGGCCAATATAAAATTTATCTGCCTGCTAAGGGGGGCTTTTAATTGGAAACCCCAATGAAATTTTGGTTTAAGTATACATTTATGCCCTTTAATATTCTCTCTTATGAAAAAATGTAATAAATCGTGGCCCCTTGTGGGTTTTAAGCCTTTTTTTTTGATTATAACAAATCGTTGTTTCAAAAATTTTTTCAAAAAGCCCAAGTCAGAAACCCAAATTTTTAACAGTCCACAACCTAATTTCCCAAACGTGCGGTTTTTTTTTTAAATAAAAATTCTGGAACAATAGGGTTCCCAAATTTTTTAAGGTCCAGAGGGTTAAAAGGGAAGTTTAGCGGGGGGCCCATGGAAGGTGAGGTGGTGGGTAGGGGAAGAGAGCGGGGGGAAAGGAAGGTGGGGTTTAGGGGTATGGAAGGGAAGGGGGTGGGCATAAAAGGTGGGCTGGTGGCATGGAAGGTGGGCTGGTGGGCATGGAAGGTGGGCTGGTGGGCATGGAAGGTGAGCTGGTGGGCATGGAAAGTGAGCTGGTGGGCATGGAAGGTGAGCTGGTGGGCATGGAAGGTGAGCTGGTGGGCATGGAAAGTGAGCTGTGGGCATGGAAGGTGAGCTGGTGGGCATGGAAAGTGAGCTGGTGGGCATGGAAGGTGAGCTGGTGGGCATGGAAGGTGGGCTGGTGGGCATGGAAGGTGAGCTGGTGGGCATGGAAAGTGAGCTGGTGGGCATGGAAGGTGAGCTGGTGGGCATGGAAGGTGAGCTGGTGGGCATGGAAGGACAGTTATACCCCACCACTGTTACTAAAGTCCCACTGGACTCTGAGGTGCAACTAATATAGCAGTAATTACAGTGTTTGTTTTAGTTGTATTAATTCAGTAGTGTTCCTCTAACCCTCATCTTTGTTATGCACCCCATACCCATGGTGTGGGCGGTAGTCAAGAGATTACAGTGGTACACTATAGGTCCAGGGACAGGGCCCCGAAGTTTTGATAGCTGAACAAATTACATAGGTAATGAACTCCAGATCTGGTCACAGTGATGACCAAGTTACAAAGGTAATGGATCATCCATACTTCTATACATGGTCACAATCATGAACAAATTACAAAGTAATGAGCCATTCACACGTCCACACCCGGTCACAACTGTAATGAGTTATTAGTGCAAATATTAATTGGGACACACACACACACACCACACACACACATACACATACCAACAACAATATGAAAATGACATAGCAGCGAAAGCCAAATCTGACCCGAAGCTGTTGTACAGCCACATCAGGAGAAAAACATCAGTCAAGAACCAGGTAATCAGGCTAAGGAAGGAAGGAGGAGAGATAATAAACGACCGAGAAGTATGTGAGGAACTCAACATGAGACTCATGGAAGTGTTCACAGAGGGACAGAAGGGATTCCAGAAAGACGGAGAGGTGGGGTGCACCACCAAGTGTTGGACACAATACATATAACCGAGGAAGAAGTGAAGAGGCTGCTGAGCGAGCTAGACACCTCAAAGGCAATGGGGTAGAATAACATCTCTCCATGGGTCCTGAGAGAGGGAGCAGAGGTGCTATGTGTACTCCTAATAACAATATTCAATACATCTATCGAAACATGGAGATTACCTGAGGTATGGAAGACAGCTAATGTAGTCCCAATTTTTAAAAAAGGAGACAGACATGAAGCACTAAACTATAGACCAGTGTCACTGATGTATAGTACGCAAAGTCATGGAATACATTATCAGAAGAGTGGTGGAACATCTAGAAAGAAAGCTTATCAACAACAGCCAACATGGCTTCAGGGACGGGAAATCCTGTGTCACAAACCTACTGGAGTTCTTTGACAGGGTGACAGCAGTAAGACAAGAGAGAGAGGGGTGGGTAGATTGCATATTCTTGGACTGTAAGAAGACATTTGACACAGTTCCACACAAGAGACTAGTGCAAAAACTGGAGTACCAGGCAGGGATAACAGGGAAGGCACTACAATGGATCAGGGAATACCTGTCAGGAAGACAGCAGCGAGTCATGGTACGCAGCGAGGTGTCAGAGTGGGCGCCTGTGACGAATGGGGTTCCACAGGGGTCTGTACTAGGACCGGTGCTGTTTCTGGTATTTGTGAACATGACGGAAGGAATAGACCCTGAAATGTTCCTGTTTGCAGATGATGTGAAGTTGATGAAACGAATTCAATCGGACGAGGACCAGGCAGAACTACAAAGGGATCTGGACAGGTTGCAGGCCTGGTCCAGCAATTGACTCCTGGAGCTCAACCCCACCAAGTGCAAAGTCATGAAGATTGGGGAAGGGTAAAGAAGACCGCAGACGGAGTACAGTGTAGGGGGGCCAGAGACTACAAACCTCACTCAAGGAAAAAGATCTTGGGGTGAGTATAACACCAGGCACATCTCCTGAAGCGCACATCAACCAAATAACTGCTGCAGCATATGGGCGCCTAGCAAACCTCAGAACAGCATTCCGACATCTTAATAAGGAATCGTTCAGGACCCTGTACACCGTGTACGTTAGGCCCATATTGGAGTATGCGGCACCAGTTTGGAACCCACACCTAGCCAAGCACGTAAAGAAACTAGAGAAAGTGCAAAGGTTTGCAACAAGACTAGTCCCAGAGCTCAGGGGTATGTCCTACTAGGAGAGGTTAAGGGAAATCGACCTGACGACACTGGAGGACAGGAGAGATAGGGGGGACATGATAACGACATAAAATACTGAGAGGAATTGACAAGGTGGACAGAGACAGAATGTTCCAGAGATTGGACACAGTAACAAGGGGTCACAGTTGGAAGTTGAAGACACAGATGAATCACAGAGATGTTAGGAAGTATTTCTTCAGCCACAGAGTAGCCAGGAACAGTTTGGGAAGCGATGTAGTGGAGGCAGGATCCATTCATAGCTTTAAGCAGAAGTATGATAAAGCTCATGGTGCTGGGAGAGTGACCCAGTAGCGACCAATGAAGAGGCGGGGCCAGGAGCTATGAATCGACCCCTGCAACCACAACTAGGTGAGTACGGGCACACAGGGTTAGAATATCGCAGAGGTAGCTGGCATTTTCTCCGGGCATTATTATTATTATTATTATTATCATTATCATCATCATAACTAAGCGCTAAACCGACAAGGTCCTTCTCTCTGGACGGCTGTGGGTGAGGCGGTGACTCGAACCCCTCCAACGGTCGTGTATCATCCTTATTTGAAATCCTACTGGTTTAGCGCTTCCCTCTTGATTACAATAACATCGTCATTTGAAAGAGACACAGTGTATCGCACTCAGCCACTCGGGTACTAAATTTCCGAAGAATGAGGGACTTGTGCAGCATTTTGAAATCTTCACTGAGGAAACGTTTCGCCAGTCAGTGCCTTCTTCAGTCCAGTACAGAGAAGAACAGTGGAAGTTAACGAGGTAATCAGTCCCTCAGCCTGGAGTAAATGTGTACATTCCATAAATGGACTGTACACAAGAGGCATTGAGTGCTAAGGGCTTGGACATCCAACAGATGACTTAATAGGAGGAATTAATACAGCACGTGAATAGAACTTTCATAAAACAGAAATTTTAGGAAACAAGATTAAAGGCATGAGAAGCAGACAGGAGACAAGAGGGAGATAATTCACAACACATTTACCCCATTCGTCAAAGATACATTAACCTTTTTTTTTTTTCAACAGTAAAACACAATGAATGATTCTCACGGGTTTAGCGCTTCAACGGCTACAGCAAATAAGAAAAACAAAAATAAAAAAAATAAAGTATTACCGACCGTCTTTCTCCTGTATGTTGGGGTCAGCGCCATTCTTCAGCAGTATGTTGACTATGTCGTAGTGACCCCAGTATGTTGCAGAATGTAGCGGCGTCACTCCTGAAAGTAGTCATAATTATATAAATAAAATAATATAATCTCATGCCAAAGGAGACTCGAAACTACGAACCTTGAGAAAAAATACGCTCGCAGTACTATGTACACCACCCTACACTGAAGTTACCAGTAGAATCTTACACTCAGAGGAGTTACCAGTAGAATCTTATACTCATAGAAGTTACCAATAATCTTACACTCATGAAGTTACCATAGAGTCTTACACTCATAGAAGTTACCAGTAGAGTCTTACACTCAAATAAGTTACCAGTAGAGTCTTACCCCAAGAAGTTACCAGTAGGATCTTACCCCCAAAGAAACTGCCAATAGAATCTTACCCCAAGAAGTTACCAGTAGAGTCTTACCCCAAGAAGTTAGGAATCCTCAACCTGTAAATAGCTTGTCAATAAAGCTAGGGATCCTTAACCTTAACCTTAACCTAAAGTCAGTTCCTGATCAGCCGGGCTGTGGCTCGTACGTTGGTTTGCGTGCAGCCAGCAGCAACAGCCTGGTTGATCAGGCGCTGATCCACCAGGAGGCCTGGTCACAGACCGGGCCGCGGGGGCGTTGACCCCCGAAACTCTCTCCAGGTAAACTCCAGGTTGTCAAACCCTGTGCAAAAAAATAAAAAAAAGTTACCAGTAGAGTCTTACCCCAAGAAGTCTGAATATTGACGTTAGCTTGTGCAGCTAGAAGTGACTGCACTATGACAGAGTTGCCCATCTTAGACGCCAGATACAGCGGTGAGTAATCTGAAAGTGGTGATTCACATTATGAACTTAGAACCATCATTACAACGAGGGTATCTTTATTGCGACGACGTTTCGCCAACCAGTGCCTTCATCAGTTCAAAACAGGTTATAAACTGAAGGTAGAAGACAATGAGGTGATCAGTCCCTTAATCTTGAAAGGTATTTGGTCCAGGAGTTTTCATTAGCGTTTTGCTGTGGTTATGATATTGGTCAGGAGACGGAACAGGCGTCTCCTGACACTGGTGTTAATTGTATAGATAATCAAGGATTGATCAGAGTTCCTGGACTAGATTAGATACCTTTCAGGAGTGAGAGATTGACTGGTAGACTATAGTATGGTTCAACTCACGAGAGTCGGGTGTACTGCCGTTCGGGTCAGCCTTGTGGTCCAAGAGAAGCTTCACGATCTCGGGAGAACGATTCCAGGTGGCCATCAGGAGTGGAGTGTAGCCTGTGAAGATAAGACACATGTATCCTGTGTGACAGGTAAACCATCCACTGAGATGAACAGGAGTGAAAGTCGGCAGAGTTGAGACCAAGAGCTGCAGCTCAACACATAAACAACTTCGAGAAAGTTAATGTACCACACGCTGGCCCTCTGGTTCCAACTATCCCCTCTTATTTCTGGAGGAACAACACTCGTTTGAGAAACTAGGATTATTCTTGAAAAACTAAGCTCACTTCTTGAAGAACTAAGCTCACTTCTTGAAGAACTAAGCTCACTTCTTGAAGAACTAAGCTCACTTCTTGAAGAACTAAGCTCACTTCTTGAAGAACTAAGCTCACTTCTGAAGAACTAAGCTCACTTCTTGAAGAACTAAGCTCACTTCTTGAAGAACTAAGCTCACTTCTTGAAGAACTAAGCTCACTTCTTGAAGAACTAAGCTCACTTTTTTGAAGAACTAAGCTCACTTCTTGAAGAACTAAGCTCACTTCTTGAACTAAGCTCACTTCTTGAAGAACTAAGCTCACTTCTTGAAGAACTAAGCTCACTTCTTGAAGAACTAAGCTCACTTCTTGAAGAACTAGACTCACTTCTTGAAGAACTAGACTCACTTCTTGAAGAACTAGACTCACTTCTTGAAGAACTAAGCTCACTTCTTGAAGAACTAAGCTCACTTCTTGAAGAACTAGACTCACTTCTTGAAGAACTAGACTCACTTCTTGAAGAACTAGACTCACTTCTTGAGGAACTAGACTCACTCTATCGAGACTAGGCTCACTCATTCGAGGACTAGCTCACTTACTGAGACTAGGCTCACTCTACGAGGGACTAGCTCACTCCGAGGACTAGGCTCACTTCTACGAGGACTAGCTCACTCTACGAGGGACTAGGCTCACTCTACGAGGGACTAGGCTCACTCCACGAGGGACTAGGCTCACTCTACGAGGGACTAGGCTCACTCCACGAGGGACTAGGCTTACTCCACGAGGGACTAGACTCACTCCACGAGGGACTAGACTCACTCTACGAGGGACTAGGCTCACTCCACGAGGGACTAGGCTCACTCTACGAGGGACTAGGCTCACTCTCTACGAGGGACTAGGCTACTCACGAGGACTAGGCTCACTCACGAGGGACTAGGCTCACTCACGAGGGACTAGGCTCACTCTACGAGGGACTAGGCTCACTCCACGAGGGACTAGCTCACTCTACGAGGGACTAGGCTCACTCCTACGAGGGACTAGGCTCACTCTACGAGGGACTAGGCTCACTCTACGAGGGACTAGGCTCACTCTACGAGGGACTAGGCTCACTCCACGAGGGACTAGGCTCACTCTACGAGGGACTAGGTCACTCACGAGGGACTAGGCTCACTCACGAGGGACTAGGCTCACTCTACGAGGGACTAGGCTCACTCCACGAGGGACTAGGCTCACTCTACGAGGGACTAGGCTCACTCTACGAGGGACTAGGCTCACTCCACGAGGGACTAGGCTCACTCTACGAGGGACTAGGCTCACTCCACGAGGGACTAGGCTCACTCCGAGACTAGGTTCGACTCCCCCAGAGGGACTAGGCTACTCACGAGGGACTAGGCTCACTCTACGAGGGACTAGGCTCACTCTACGAGGGACTAGGCTCACTCTACGAGGGACTAGGCTCACTCCACGAGGGACTAGGCTCACTCCACGAGGGACTAGGCTCACTCCACGAGGGACTAGGCTCACTCTACGAGGGACTAGGCTCACTCCACGAGGGACTAGGCTCACTCTACGAGGGACTAGGCTCACTCTACGAGGGACTAGGCTCACTCCACGAGGGACTAGGCTCACTCCACGAGGGACTAGACTCACTCTACGAGAGACTAGGCTCATTCCACGAGGGACTAGGCTCACTCTACGAGGGACTAGGCTCACTCCACGAGGGACTAGGCTCACTCCACGAGGGACTAGGCTCACTCCACGAGGGACTAGGTTCACTCCACGAGGGACTAGGCTCACTCCACGAGGGACTAGGCTCACTCTACGAGGGACTAGGCTCACTACGAGGGACTAGGCTCACTCCACGAGGGACTAGGCTCACTCCACGAGGGACTAGGCTCACTCCACGAGGGACTAGGCTCACTCTACGAGGGACTAGGCTCACTCCACGAGGGACTAGGCTCACTCCACGAGGGACTAGGTTCACTCCACGAGGACTAGGCTCACTCCACGAGGGACTAGCTCACTCTACGAGGGGCACTCACAGGACTAGACTCACTCTACGAGGGACTAGACTCACTCTACGAGGGACTAGGCTCATTCCACGAAGGACTAGGCTCGCTACTACTGCTTGACTCACCGTTCTCAGTGAAGGTGTTGGGATCAGCTTTCTTGTTGAGAATCATCTCCACACAGTCGCGGTTACCGTTTTCCACCACCAGGAAGAGTGCGGTAATACCTGTTGAAGGAGGTTCAAGGTGCGGTAATACCTGAGGAAACGTCTCTCCAGCCAGTGGCTTCTTCAGTCCAATACAAAGAGGAACAGTGGAAGATGAGGAGTTTGAGGTAATCAGTCCCTCAGCCTGGAGTCGACTCCAGGCTGAGGGACTGATTACTTCAGATTCTCCCCCTCATCTTCCACCGTTCTTCTCTGCATTTGACTGAAGAAACCACTGGCTGGAGAGACGTTTCCTCAATAAAGATTCTTAAATATTTCACAAGTGTCTCATTCTTAAACTTACATCAAGTTTACAATCACACGTAGGTAGTATACTGCTCTCACCTGACTGACTCTTGTGGTTGACAACTGAACCAGCATCCAGCAGCGCTCTCACTCCTTCAGTACTGTTGGTCTCAGCTGCCCACAGCAGTGCCGTGTATCCCTTTTTCTTGCCTGCGAGAAGTAAGTTTTTTGATTGTTTCGCTGTGACGTGAAAACTGATTGACGACTACTGGGGTCCGGGGGTCGATCCCCTGTATGGGTGGAAACGTTGGATGTGTTCCCATAAGACGTCTGCTGCCTCTCTTCACCCAGCAGTAAGTAGGTACCTGGGTGTTAGTTGAGTGTTATGGGTCGCATCCTCGGTGAGGGTGGAGGATCTACGGCCCACAGTGGAAATAAGCCAGGTAGTGGCTTTCACGGATAGTTACCACCCACAGGATGGGTATGGGAGAACTACCACCCACTGGATTGGGTATGGAGGGTCTGCCACCCAATGGACTAGGTATGGAGGAACTACAACCCACATGGCTGGGTATAGAGGGACTACTACCCACAGGACTGGGTATGGAGGGACAACAGCCCACTGGACTGGGTATGGAGGGACTACCATCCACTGAACTGGGTATGGAAGGACTACCACCCACAGGACTTGGTATGGAGGGACTACCACCTACTGGACTGGGTATGGAGGGACTACCACCCACAGGACTGGGTATGGAGGGACTACCACCCACAGGACTGTGTATGGAGGGACTACCACCCACTGAACTGGGTATGGAGGGACTACCACCCACTGGACTGGGTATGAAGGGACTACCACCTACTGGACTGTATGGAGGGACTACCACCCACAGGACTGGGTATGGAGGGACTACCACCCACTGGACTGGGTATGGAGGGACTACCACCCACAGGACTGGGTATGGAGGGACTACCACCGACAGGACTGGGTATGGAGGGACTACCACCCACTGGACTGGGTATGGAGGGACTACAACCCACAGGAACTGGTGTGGAGGGCATAACAGGAACATGACTCACGAAATCGTAATGACACGATTGCAAACAAACCATACCACGGGCGGGGATAGAACCCGCGGGTTCTATCCCCGCCCGTGGTATGGTTTGTAACAGGAACACTTACCGGTGCTCTCAGAGTAGGTAATGAGATAGGCTGTGTCAGGCTGTTGCAGCAGTTTCTTGACTTTACGAGTGTTCTTTCTGGACGCCATGAACAACAGATCATTAGCTATTAAAGACAGAGATGTACCAATTAAAAATACTGACTAAAAATAGCCTAAATTGTGCTTAAAAATAATGTTAGAAGTCACGAAAGAAAAGAGACAGTGACATGTTGCGAATCACTGGCTTTGATTTTCTTACTAATAACTAACGTTTTTCAATGAACTTTTGTGATTTCAGTAATTTAAAAGAAGTCTAGCTTGGAAGTTACTCTTTTTTCAGTGGCTTAAACCGGTGGGAGAATTGGACCTGCCTGGCATGGGCCAGTAGGCCTGTTGCAGTGTTCCTTCTTTCTTATGTTCTTATTTGTTGGTGATAATTTGTACAAGGCTCACCGTTGCAGAGATTTCTCTTCCTGGGAGCCAGAGTTGAGCGATCTTTCTCACAGTCATCCTTATTCTCGTCTTCTTTCTTCTCCGGCGCTTTCTTCTTGGCTGCTGCGGCTGTACCCAGACACAGCACCATCACCATCACCATTACCATCACCATCACACGCATTGTTTGTACTGTAAGAGAATAAGGTGGGAAACTCAGCAGCGCTGTCATCAGCACCACCATCAACACCACCATCAACAGCACCACCATCAACACCACCACCATCAACACCACCATCAACAGCAGCACCATCTACAGCAGCACCATCAACACCATCAACAGCACCACCATCAACACCACCATCAACAGCACCACCATCAACACCACCATCAACAGCAACACCATCAAAACCACCACCATCAACACCACCATCAACAGCAGCACCATCAACACCACCATCAACAGCACCACCATCAACACCACCATCAGCAGCACCACCATCAACAGCACCATCAACACCACCATCAACAGCACCACCATCAACACCACCATCAACAGCACCACCATCAACACCACCATCAGCAGCACCACCATCAACACCACCATCAACAGCACCACCATCAACACCCCCATCAGCAGCACCACCATCAACACCACCATCAACAGCACCACCATCAACACCCCCATCAGCAGCACCACCATCAACACCACCATCAACAGCACCAACCATCAACACAACCACCATCAACACCACCATCAACAGCACCACCATCAACAGCAGCACCATCAACACCACCATCAACAGCAGGACCATCAACAGCAGCACAATCAACACCTCCATCAACAGCACCACCATCAACATCACCATCAACACCACCATCAGCAGCACCACCATCAACACCACCATCAACACCACCATCAACATCACCATCAACAGCACCACCATCAACAACACCATCAACACCACCATCAACAGCACCACCATCAACACCACCATCAACACCACCATCAACGCCACCATCAACAGCACCACCATCAACAGCAACACCATCAACACCACCATCAACAGCACCACCATCAACAACACCATCAACAACACCATCAACAGCAACACCATCAACAGCAACACCATCAACAGCAGCACCATCAACAGCAGCACCATCAACAGCAGCACCATCAACAGCAGCACCATCAACACCACCATCAACAGCACCACCATCAACACCACCATCAACAGCAACACCATCAACAGCAACACCATCAACAGCAGCACCATCAACAGCAGCACCATCAACACCACCATCAACAGCACCACCATCAACACCACCATCAACAGCACCACCATCAACAGCAGCACCATCAACACCACCATCAACAGCACCACCATCAACACCACCATCAACACCAACCATCAACAGCACCACCATCAACAGCCACATCACACACCATCAACACACCCCCATCACACAGTCAACCACCATCAACACCACCATCAACAGCACCACCATCAACACCACCATCAACAGCACCACCATCAACACCACCATCAACAGCACCACCATCAACACCACCATCAATAGCACCACCATCACCACCACCATCAACAGCACCACCATCAACACCACCATCAACAGCACCACCATCAACACCACCATCAACAGCGCCACCATCACCACCATCAACAGCACCACCATCAACACCACCATCAACAGCACCACCATCAACACCACCATCAACAGCACCACCATCAACACCACCATCACACAGCACCCACCATCAACACCCACCATCACTCAAGCACCACAACACCATCAACACCACCATCAACACCACCATCAACACACCATCACACCATCAGCACCATCATACAACAACACCATCAACACCACCATCAACAGCACTACACCACCATCAACACCCACCATCAACACCATCAACAGCACACAACACACCATCAACAGCAACACCATCAACACCACCATCAACAGACTCAACCACCATCAACACACCCATCAACAACACCATCAACAGCACACCATCAACAGCATACACCATCAACAGCAGCACCATCAACACAGCAGCACCATCAACACCAGCACCCATCAACACAGCACCATCAACACCACCATCAACACACATCACACACCATCAACCCCCAACACCATCACACAGCAACCACCATCAACACACAAGCACCATCAACAGCAAGCCACCATCAACACCACCATCAACAGCACCACCATCAACACCACCATCAACACACACCACCATCAACAGCAGCACCATCAACACCACCATCAACACCACACACCCATCAACACCACCATCAACACCACCATCAACAGCACCACCATCAACAGCCCCACCATCAACACCACCATCAACAGCACCACCATCAACACCACCATCAACAGCACCACCATCAACACCACCATCAACAGCACCACCATCAACACCACCATCAACAGCACCACCATCAACCACCAAACCATCAATCAGCACCACCATCACCACCACCATCACATCACACCACCATCAACACCACCATCAAACCAGCACCAACCACCATCAACACCACCATCAACAGCACCACCATCACCACCATCAACAGCACCACCATCAACACCACCATCAACAGCACCACCATCAACACCACCATCAACAGCACCACCATCAACACCACCATCAACAGCACTCAACACACCATCAACACCACCATCAACAGCACCACCATCAGCACCACCATCAAACAGCACCACCATCAGCACCATCAACAGCCACCATCAACACCACCATCAACAAGCACCACCCATCAACACCACCATCAACAGCACCACCATCAACACCACCATCAACACCACCAACCCCCAAACAACTAACACCACCATCAACACCACCATCAACCACCAACCCATCAACACCACCATCAACACCACCATCAACACACCACCATCACACCATACAACCACACACACCATCACACTCAACACCATCAACACACCACACACCATCAACACCACCATTAGCACACCACCATCACCACCATCAACACACCACCATCAACACCACCATCAACAGCACCACCATCAACACCACCATCAAACAGACACACCACCATCAACACCACCATCAACAGCACCACCATCAACACCACCATCAACACCACCACCAACAGCACCACCATCAACACCACCATCAACACACACCACCTCAACAACCACACACCATCAACACCACCATCAACACCACCATCAACACCACCATCAACACCACCATCAACACACCACCATCCAACAACCCACCATGAACAGCACCACCATCAACACACACCATCAACACACCATCAACACCACCATCAACACACCATCAACACCACCATCAACACCACCATCAACAGCACCACCAACACCACCACCATGAACAGCACCACCATCAACACCACACCATCAACACCACCATGAACAGCACCACCATCAACACCACCATCAACACCACCATCACAACCACCACCATCAACACCACCATAAGAAACAGCACCACCATCATCACACCATCAGCACCACCATCAACAGTCACCACCATCAACAGCACCACCATCAACAACACCACCATCAACAGCACCATCAACACCACCATCAACAGCACCATCAACACCACCATCAACAGCACACAACCATCAAACCACCATCAACAGCACCACCATCAAAAGCAGTACACCATCAACACCACCATCAACACCACCATAACAGCACCACCATCAACAGCACACCATCAACAGCACCATCAAACAGCACACACACATCAACAGCACCCACCATCAACAGCACCACCATCAACAGCACCACCATCAACACCACCATCAACACCACCATGAACACACCACCACACCAACAGCATGCACCATCAACAGCACCATCAACAGCACCACCATCAACAGCACCACCATCAACTGCACCACCATCACAACACCACCATTAACACACCACACACCATCAACAACACCATCAACACCACCATCAACAGCACACATCAACACCACCATCAACACTCACCATTAACACCTACCATCAACACCACCATCAACACCACCATCAACACACCACCATTAAACACCCACCATCACAACACCATCAACAGCACCATCAACACCACCATCAACAGCACCATCATCAACACCACCATCAACACCACCACCATTAACAAACCACCATCAACAACACCATCAACAACACCATCAACACCACCATCAACAGCACCATCATCACACCACCATCAACACCACCATCAACACCACCATCAACACCACCATCAACACCACCATCAACACCACCTTCAACAACACCATCAACAACACCATCAACACCACCATCAACAACCATCACAACACCACCATCAACACCACCATCAACACACCATCAACACCACCATCAACACCACCATCAACACCACCATCACTAACACCATGAACAGCACCATCAACACCACCATCAACAAACACCATCAACCCCACCATTACACCACCATCAACAACACCATCACAACACCATCAACAGCACCATCAACAGCACCATCATCAACACACCATCAACACCACCATCAACACCACCATCAACACCACATTAACACCACCATCAACAACACCATCAACACCACCATCAACACCACCACAACAGCACCATCATCAACACCACCATCAACACCACCATCAATACCACCATCAACACCACCATCAACACCACCATCAACAACACCACCATCAACACCACCATCAACACCACCATCATACACCACCACCATCATACACCACCATCAACAGCACCACCATCAACAACACCATGAACAGCACACCATCAACACCACCATCAACAGCACCACCATCAACAGCACCACCATCAACACCACCATCAACAGCACCACCATCAACAACACCATGAACAGCACACCATCAACACCACCATCAACACCACCATCAACAACACACCATCAACCACCATCAACACCACCATCAACACCACCACCATCAACACCACCATCAACAGCACCACCATCAACAACACCATGAACAGCACCACCATCAACCACCATCAAAGCACACATCAACAGCACCCCCATCAACACCACCACACAACACCATCAACAACACCATGAACAGCACCACCTCACACCACCATCAACAGCAGCACCATTAACG